GATTATAATATTATCAGGAAAAACTAAAGTATGCATTATAGGTTTATGCATCTCGGACAAAATCCTTCCAAGAGCCAATCATGTCATCCACTTCTATTGCACTAGGCTAAACTGATCGTGATGTTTTTCTTTTATTCCACTTATATATATATATTTCATACAAGTCCAAATCCAAACAGTCTCAAATATCAGTTTATAAAGTTGCATTCTTCTCTATTGTCTGATGAGTACTTCTTTCTTAAAGGATTCTCAAAAACGGGTCATTCAAGATGTCCAGTTACAGTCATAAAAAACTCAGCAGCTACAGGAAGGAAAAGGGGCCCTGCAACAGATGGCATGGGCCCCCGCAGGGTCCAATGTGACAGAAACCTCGCCAACACATTAGAAAAAAGTAAAACCAAATTGGACACACTGTTCTGATCTATTTAAAGGGCTTTGTATGAGGTCAGCTGATAATAAAACTACTGAGTGTCTCACTTCCCTCAAGTGTCAGCCTGGGGTGGAACAGATCAGACAGCGAGGACAGATGAGTGGGAGAAAGGGAGACACGGCAGGTCCTATAGCAGTTTGCACAGCTGTACACTCTCCACATGTTGAATGACGCAGCCTCTCTGTCACCGAGCGCTCCATGGGGTTTCTGATTCCCCAGAAATTCCTCGAAGCAGGAAGCAAGCGCACCACAGCAGTGCTCATATTCTCCTTTCCAAGGTTTCGTTTTGATTCCAGTTCCCACTTCATTCTTTATTAAAAGAAATAGCATCCCACACAATGCACACCAGGTCCCAGGTGACTCCTATTCCAGTTACTTGGAATTGGAAAAGCCCTTTTAGCCCTTTCCAGTTTAAAAGTGAAGGGTTAGACTCTAGTCTTGTCTCTCTGTATGGCATAAAAATTTTTTTCCCCCATTGTTATTAAATAATTTCAACATGATGCCAAAATCCAAACACAGACTGCAGGGTCTGCCTTCTGCAGCACCACCTGCAAGTACAAAGAAGCCTCCGGTTGCAACACACTGCAGCTTAATGTGCTAATAAAGCACAAGTACAAACAGCATTTACCTGACTGTAACCAGGGATCCTATAGATTCAATGTCAGACTTCCTTACTTTTCCAGAGTGCAATTTCTGGTGACCCAAGTTGTTTTAAGCCAAATTGTAGAAATATTTTTTAAAGAAAAATGTATTTTCATATTTTCATGCTTTAATTTCTAAGCTTTAGTAAAAAGGAGAATTACACAGAGCAAGGATGAATAAAGAGTCTTCCACTCACACAGTGATCTCTAAATGTATATCTGCAGTTGCTGAGGATCAATAAATGGACTGGATGGATTGATAATAAATAAGAGACAGATCGAGAGATTGGATGGATGGATGAAGAAATGATGAATGCATTGAAGGAAGGAAGAACAGATGAATAAATGTTGGATGAGAAGAAGGAAGGATGAATGATGGATGAAAGGTAGGAAGAAAAGGAAGGAATGAAGAATCTATAAATGATGTATGGATGGGTGAATACATGATGGATGGAAGGAAGAATTTATGAATAAGTGATAAATGGATAACATGAAGGAAAAAAGGATAAATGATCGATGGATGAACTTTATAGTGGAATATTGAGGGGATATTCCACTATATTCTGTGTAGAGAAACATTTTCACAACATTGCACAGGAATCCTGCCTAATAACACCCACTTCTATCTTAACCAGCCTGTTTTGATGTCGACTGACATCGTTCTCACTGTTAGACAATAAGTGCTTGTTCTGGTAGGGCTCATCCCTAAAATTAACACCAATTAATTTTAGGGATGAGAAACCGTTCATCCATTTGCAGCAAAGCGCTTTGATTCGACGCATCAGGGCGGCTCAGAAGAAGAATCCAAGTATTTCAGGGTATTACAATAGAGTAGGGAAGACGTGGGATATACTACAGGGCTGTTAACTTGAGTGTAATATCCAGCAAGCTGTCAGACACTCCAGGTTTGCACAACTAGTTCCTCCCAAAGCTCACAGAGGATTTTATCAGTTGCCACATGCCGCATGTTTGTTTCACCCAGCACGCCCACACTCAGACAGCATCCACTTCACAGGCTTCCCAATATGCCATTTTATAGTTTATAACAGGGGGGGAAAGAAAACAGAGGACAGACTTCTTGGAAGTGTTACAGAGTAATTAAATGTAAGATTAAGTTAGCTAGAAGCTCTGTTTTATTAGGAGATGAAACACCATCTGGTGCAAACAAACCTCACCTAAACTTCTTTATGTATATGATAAATTGGGCCACCCAAGGAAAAAGTTTCATTGGACATAACGGTTACAGCAGATATTCTTACTGCCAAGGCAACGAGCGGGGCGTTGCCTGGGCATTAAATTACATTCAAATAAATGCAGCAGTTTTATGAACCACAAACTACAGAATTTAATGTCTTTTGTTCCAACTTTATGTGAAAGATTAACACAAACTGATGTCGAATTGTGAAATTGAGAGAAAATAAAACTTTTTTTTCCTAAACAATTATGTTTGTGTGGATTCATAATTATTAAGTTTTTGGGGTTATATCTTCACCAGCTTTGTCTGTAGACCTAAACATCTGTCACGTGGAAAAAGTAGCTCCATCAGTCAGAACGGACAGAGAGCATCTTTGCCTAATAATTCTTTCAATTAAACTAGTCAAAATATTTTGATCTGAATTTTGACTAGATTGACATTGATAAGCTTTGATCTAAACTGCTCCATTCCAGTTCTGGTTTAGGATTGTTTTACAGCTGGAAGGATAAATCTTAGACAGCCTTTAACAGGGTTTCTTCCAGGACCATTAGTATTTAACTCTGTCCATAATCTCCTGGCTAATTATTAGTTAATGAAGCCAGTGCATGTATACGATCTGTTTTTAGATGATGGATTGAACAGTCCTCTGTTCAGGCTTCTACGTTAGATATTTTTTTATAAATGTTTAAACTTCTCTGCATCTTTCTCTCTGCCCTGCCAGGTGTATTGCTTGGTGTTTGTGAGATTGTTTGTTTACTAATGTCCTTTAACAAACCTCTGATGCCTCCTCAGAACAGTTGGACTTATTCTGAAATGAAATTACACAGAAGTTAACTCTGTTTAGTAAATAGATCACTACTGAAAGAAATTGTTTGCACTAAATTATAGAGTTGAGCTTCATAGTAGGAAGGGCTGGATATAAATGCATGCCACACTTTTCAGATTGTTACTCATTAAAATAGCCATGTGTATTGATCATGGTTCCTATGTATCTTGGATTACAGAATTCCATACTTTTCATCAATTTCTAGATTTGTCTTCCTACAAGTTTGGAACTTTTTGGGAATTTGGTTCAACAGTATTAATCTTGAACCTGTTTGATGAATTGTCTGATGTCATTATCTCCAGGTTCCACAAATAATTAAATAACACAGGACTTAAACTTAAACTGGCTTCAAAATTTCAGACAGTGCCATAAGGCCATATCATTACAGCTGTTGTGGGTTCTGGGCTTAATTACTATAAATCAACTTCATTTCAAGTTGTCTAACTTGGGAAATCAGTAATAGAGAATCCAAGATTAAATGCATATCATTTAAAGTACATTTTATAAATGTTGGCACCAATAAACACTGTATGTTTTTACCTTTACTAGGTATCATAAATGAGGTTTTGCTTGTCCCTTTGGATTTATGGCGCACCAAATTTAGAATTCAGTCCAAAACATCACACACTGTGAAGACAGAATGAAAGATGAAGATATTCAAATCAAGGTGTCACTGATAATAAAGTCGCTAATTGAAATTGAAAGTGTCCAGTAGTCAGCTTTGATATTAGCCCTGAGGAAGAGAAGTCAGGCCTCTAAATGTGCTTCTCATCGTTAATTTCTTATTTTCAGAGCCGATGCAACTTAATCGCAGTCAATTATAAGCATGAATTCTTCTCTCGTTTTCTCATTTAGAAAGCAGCCCTGCTTTAATCTGCAGTAATTGCCCATGTCAGGTTGACAAACAGATTTATTCAAAGTAATTTAGCAGCAACTCCACGTGACAATAAAGAGCTCATTCAATCTCAAGGTGTTTAATTCTACAAGTAGAACAGCGGGAAAGGGTGAGTGCAGAGGTCGTTAAAATAGGATTTAAATACGGAGAAATGCATGAGAAAAAAATGGAAAATCATAATATACTAAATGAAAGATAATTCATCAATATCCTACACATGAATAAGGACACTTTACATCGTAATGGTCAGAAAACTTAACTTTTAACAGATTTTTCAGCTTCTGACCTGCAGGCCACCTGATCAAAGCAGATCAAAGAGAAAGTCTGAAAAAATCTACAATTTTATTAAGTGAGGTTCTAGTTTTGAATTAGTATGGAGAAATATAAACAGAATATAGAAAAATATTTAGATTGTCAGACTATTACAGACAGCATCACACTGTCTCAATGATACATCAGTTCATTCATCTGTAAATAAACTATCTATTCATCCATTTTAATTCCTACTTTTCTTGCTTAGAGTCATTGGCTTTTGCAGCTTCCAGACTAACCAGTGTAGATTATTATCTACCATAAATTCATAGTAACTTCATTACTGCAACATAGGTTAAAAAAGGACAGAGAGGAATTGGATTTTTACAAAAACAAAATATGTAGGAATCCCAGCAAATTGGCCAATTAAAATCTCTTCAGTGCAAAGATAAAAAAAAAGACAAGAAACAGAACATGCATAAATTTGTTGCACACTTCACCAAAAGATCTAAAAAAAATGTGTCTTTTGGGCAACATCTCTTCCCAGTTTTCCATGTGAACTCAGTTACATGATTTATCACAGAATCCAGCCTTTAAAATGCTGCAGCTGTCTTCATTTTCAGCCTGCACACATCAAGTTGGCATCATTTGAAAGTTTTCTAAATGCCTGCTTGCTTTGACATGCAACTCTCCAGAAAATGTTGCAAAGAGACAAAACAAAATGCAAAGAGGAATATGAATCTTATGGGCACATTACTCACAGTTCATCCAGTTGGGCACTGCAGGCAGTCTGCAACAAGGATGCTGATCTGTTGCTGCCCCTGACCTCTGACCTCCCCTGCTACAGAGCCCGCCTAAAGGGATTAATACATGTCACACAGCCATCCATGATGAGCAAAATAGAAAAAAACCCCTCATAAATCCTTAGCTAACTCATGCAGTAAAGAGGAGAAATAACTCATGGCTTATCCATCAATCCACCCGCAGCTCACCGACATGTTGGAAGTGGCTCAACTGAAGCTCAATCAAAAACCGAGTCAGCGTCAGAATATGAGGAAAACAAGCATGTTTGACTGGAAATAAGGCAAAAGACGAACAGAATAGGAAATAGGAAAACACGGAATGCAGGCAGGAGAAACTCCAAAAGCCTGATCCAATAACCTACTTTGACGCACCAGGCTGACTGAAGACGCTGCAGGTTGACAGGAAAACGGTTCCACAAACATAAACAAGGCGAACCAAACCGACAGTCGGGTTGACTCAAGCATTAAAGCAACAAACACACCTGAAATGGACGCTTCACCAGGGAGAAAAAAAAATCAGCACGCCGCTGCCTGCCGCGGTGCGTAAAGGACAGGTAAGACGGAGCAACACGCTGCTGGAATGATGACGCTCCCTGCTAGGTTAATTAACACCAACGTGGATTTTTTAGAGACGAAACGACGCAGTCAAAACGTAAAACTCACCCTTCTTATGGCTTTGGATATTAAGTCCTGAGAGCAGATTGTCGGAAAGAGGCGAGGCAGAGGTTCGGTGTTGCCGCCTGTCAGTGGAGAAGGTGGAGTTAGAGGTTTTACTCCAACACAACAGAAGCTGCCTGTCAGCTCCAACATCCAAGCTATCGGGATAGGGTGACACCTGCTGGTCAACAGCTGCATGACAACGTCAAAACCAGCCAGTTTATCCTCAATTTTGATCTTTTAATTGTTTGGGGTTTGACCTGAAGATCTATGCTTTTCAAACTGATTGATTCTAATTCAATCAAAGAAGTGTCTTGCATTTGTTTTATTTGCATTATGTGTCCTCTGAATATGTCTTTTTCTTAAATGTATTATTTGGTTTCTAAAGACCAATTAATCATATGTGTTTTTAGTCCATTTTCAAATTTTTTTTTTAGATCGGATCTGTTTTGACTCATTATTTAAAGGAAAATAATGCATACAGGTTTTTATTTTTATTTTTATAAAGCAATATAAAGTAAATTCAAAATGTAGTTTTTATATTAGGAGTTTATTAAGTGGAAAAAAAGTATTCCAACCAGCCTACTGCATGTGTAAAAGCCACTGCCCCGTGGTTAAATTGATTAATTGATTGTGACTAATCACATTCTTTTGTTAGGCACTCCAAAGCCTGATTGCTATCAGCCCTGTGTAATTATAAATCTTCTTAATCTGCTAGACAACATCAAGACTACAAGATCTTAAAATGTAATGCACCAGGCCCTGAAAAACATTCAAGAATATATTTAATTGACATTTACTAGCATGAAAATAGTTACAAAGTCATTTCTACGGCTATTAGACTCCAGTGAATCACACTAGGCCCTTCTACAGCATGGCTCAACTCCGCTCAACTCTACTTGGTTCAGATGGGGTTCCATTACAATTTGTGGTGGGTGGGGTTGTCATGTACTTGGGCAGCCCTGAGTCTAACTAGTGTGAAGTGATCTGTACACAACATAAACACAACAATGTGAACATGGAAGCTATGTTCACATTGTGCAAATCTTTATGTCTGATTCAAAAAAGAAGAAAGTCTGGGTAGAGAAGAACAGGAGAGTGTGATAAAACCAGTGACTCCGCCCTGTAACCAATCATTAATCGACTGTCTTCTGAAGTCACGTTTTCACCCTGACTCGTTCACTTGGATCCCCAATATTATAGGTACTTAGAAGGAGGCTGGTGCCACGTATCCATTATTAGTGGAAAACCAATATAAGTGAGCAGAGCTGAATCGAGCTGCTCTGAGTAGATGTTGGGAAAAGAACCAAGAGTCATTATGGATAAATGGAGAAAACATGGATCAATGAAGAAACTTTCCCAGAAGAGGCCAACCTTCCAAATTTAATCCAAGAGGCCATCAATGAATCACCAACTCACAAAGAAAAAGAAACAAGAACAACATCTCTAATACCACAGACTATATTTCCCTTGGCTGAGGTAAAAACAAACAAACAAACAAAAGACAGGGTAGAAATGACATCACAGGGAGAATCACAAACCAAAGATCGTTACATCTACAGTTATTGGTGATAGTGTGATGGTTTGAGGCTCCAATTGTGGTGCACAATCTTTCCATAAAACAAGGAAGTCTACCAGAAAATCCAGTGACATGTAGCATTATATTTACAATATCAGCTGTAAATGGTTGGTGATGATTGTTGTCACCAGCAGCTCATAAAAATCATGACTAAGTTTATCATCAAATCTTTTTTCCACCAATGAACCGGAAAAGGCCACCCATTCCTAGTCTAAAGTCCACCTCATAATAAAATAGAATAGCTAAAACCTCAGTACTTCAAGTTAGTAAATAGTTTGAGTTCATGTTTTTGTAAAGTTTCTAAATTCTAATTTTGTTACGTTTCCTGCCAGGATTTCTCTTGGATGGTTCTCTGTTGGATAAAGTACAAAACATGAAAATTGCTTTTCTCTTTCAATGTCCTTCATTCAATGTTTGTTTTCATGGCTGCACTTCTATTATTATTCCTTTATGGCCTCTGTGATCACATAATCATGGCCACCGCCTGTCATGGTTTTAGAGCCATCATGAGTGACGCATTTATACGATTCAATAATCAGTAGTCTTTCAGTGAGGTTTTTAGGGTAAAGTAAATTATTAATCTGATTTTATGAGAATATAAAGATCAGGACTTTGAATCCAAGACAAGAAACAAATATCCATAAAAGTAGCTTCAAAGTGAATTTTAGTTTAAAATGTTTTATTTTTGTAATGTTATGAAATCAAAGTGACAGTATAATTTCTTCTCTTCCTGAATAAAAAAATTCCTGAATTACATCAAGTTCTCATTTCACACACTCTTGACTGATGTGACGACGTTATCGTGTTTTGAAACGGTTTCTCCTATGACAACCACCTCAGTCTTTCCTCTTGTCACTCCAAAGGTCGCAGTAATAAACAGGAGATTTTATGGTCCCCCAGGTCCACACTTCACTCCACCCAGGAGAGCTAACCAATTCAGTGCTGACAGAAGACTGAAAAAGGGTTCCTTTTCCTTTTCCTAAGCTTCAGAGGTGTTTACCTGAAGAGACGCTTGGATTTTATCAAGAACATTTGGAAAATAGAGAACAATGCCATCTTTAAAAAAGACTTTGTTTTTTCTTTTGAGCGCGATGCTCACTGCCATATCTATTGGTTTGCTTGGGTATGCCATGTCCACGACATGGTCTACAACGATAATGGATTGTGAAGGATTTGGGAGCAACAATGGAAGTGCAGAAATAACGATGGGCCTTTTCAATGGAAAGTTAATAAGAAACACCTGTCCCAGCTTTGGCAGTGAGGAAAAATTTGAAGGTAACAATTCTTGGTCTATTAAGGGATATAAGTTCCGTAACACTGGTATCCCTTAAGATAACGAACTATAAAAAAGGGCTGTAATCTGTAAAAGTTTAAGATCTTAAAAGGAGAATCAATTCAAAATAAGTTTCAATCTGATTAGATTATTGTGTATTCTTTAAACGTTGATGCATTACAGGACCTACTAGTCTAATATTTTATGTCTATTTGCAGTGTTTAAAGCATTGTTACCCATAGAAAAGGCTCCCCTGGTTCTCCACGGTCTGTGTGTGGGGCTGCTGGCTGTGTGTTTCCTGACTTCTGGCCTGAGCATTCTCATCTCACTCTACAACAGCGTCAGTAACCCTTACGAGACCTACATGGGCCCTAATGGGGTTTACACCTGCTCCTCCATCAGCGGTGAGTGGTGCTACAATTAAACAGTATTCATACACCACAAGAGTCTAAGGATCTTGTTTTGATTTTATGTTAACAGTAAATAATAGCAAAGTGGAAGAAGTGTGACAGCATTTGTATTTCATCCCTTTAATCTCACTCTGAATAAAATTAAAACATCATCCTAAACTTTGATTATTTCACGTTTAATCAATAATCTAACAACTGAAAGAGATTGGCACAACTGCAAACCTATAAAAACAACGCCTTACCTCAAAGCTGACTGGCTGGACGATGAGCATAACGTGGTGTGGAAGTGGGGAGGAGCATAATGCAGGTGGAAGCAAGCCAAAGATGAGAGCATAAAAAACGTTCATAAAAATCTTTAGGCAATGAAAACATAAGTTGAGGAATCATAGGAAAAAATGACTTACAGAGGGAAACCATGAATAAAGTTACAACTTAAATTAGAACCTGCATGAGATGCATGAAAGACGTGTTGTTATGTACATGGAAAAACTTAGTGGCTAGGAATTCTTTTGTAATAAACTGCATTAAATCAGGATGATGTGAAGTTGGGCTGAATGCAATCTTTTCTACCTGCAGCATGCTCGTCTGTTCTGGTCCTCATCATTTACGTGCTGAACCTCATTCTGACCAAAATGCAAGAGGAATTGGTTCCCAGCATTGCTGACATTACCGACGTAGAGCTGACTCAGAAAAGGTTGGAGGTGAGGGTCGGGTATTTCCTGCTCATCCCTTATGCGGTGCTCTCTCTGCTGGCCATCTTGTTGATCTACCTGTACGACCACGCAGCCTACACTCACAGACGGGAACAGGAGAGGCCCACAGAGGACGCCCCTAAGGAGATCATGATGTACTAGTGATAATCACGCCAGTGACACTTTTACGTTTCCGAATGACTTTCTGGGAAAACTTACTGTTTGTAACTTAGATTATTACAGATCATGGTGGTGTACAGAAAAAAATGAATGCACAACTTGCTTGATGCACAATGTGCAGGAATTGATTTATTGTATTCAGTTTTGACATTCAAGACAGAATGTTTTATTGCATTTCAGTTTTAAGTTAATTTATCCAAAAGGGTGAGAAGTCAAATTAATCATTTTATTCTACATTTTTCACATAAAATATACACAAAACATTCTTTAAAACTTATTTATTTTACATATGAACAATACAATAGCTTTTAGTGCAAAGCAATACCTTTCTATGTCTTTCAGAATAAAATAACAGTCAAATCAGCATCAACACTGATATTGTTAATCAACACGATGCATGCATTCGTTTGCATCTCTTTGGATGAAAGCAATTTCTACCCATTGTTTGTTTTGTTTTTTTTAGTTTAATATCAAATTATTTTCTAAAGAAATAAATCAATTGATTGAAAGCAGTAACAAGGTAATGGTATTCAGTGACGTTTGCTGCCCTCTCTCTGACTTATGATGCTATTACAAGGAGTCAACATCAGTAGAATGCCACTGCTGAGACATTACTGGATCCCTGTTTACTTGGAACAGCCTTTCTCTGGAAATATGTTGTGCCAAGTGTTGCACAATTAATATTATTTGGATGAAAAGCCACTATAACACATCAAAGAAAGATATCTTAACCCTCTAAAGTGAAGGTTTGACCCAACAGGAATGAACACTAACAATTGCATTAAAAAGAATGGTTGTACATCCGACCAGAATTAAAACAAACTCTTGACTTAAAATAAAAATCTTAGCAATTTGCAAAAAGATATCGCCAAATATCAGTTGTGGTGTATGTATTTAAGCCTGTGTGTATCATTTTGAACCTGTGGATTAAATAAAATGAAAATTGAATTTAAACTTGTGAACCTGATTCTTACTTTTTATTCTTGTAAATATTTAAAAGACTCCAAAATGTATTCATGAAAAAATGAGTGTGTGCAAACATTCAATGACCCTTTATATACATACAGGGATGAGACTTTAATAAGTTAATTTTGATTAATTAATTACAGAGATTTTGATGTGTTGAAAATGTTATCACATTTTTTTTTTTTTTGGTTCCTTCCAGAACCTTTGTATTTCCATGCTTCTGGTACACTTGTAAATGCAGCATGTACAAACAATAGTGACAGACAAAAAAGATGCTTCCAACCAACTGGAAGTTACATTTTGCTCCAAAAAGACTATTGTTGTGTGCAAGCTGCACAGAAAGGAGTTTGTCTATCAGTGAAGCTATTTAAGCTGAAACTACCATCTCAATGCAAAACATGTTGTTTTGGGAGAAGACCAGTCCAGGAACCACCAAGACTCAAACCTGCTGATGACAAGAAGAATGTTTGCAGGAGTCAAGGTGAGCCCAATAAACCTTTGGATGTTGTGCCGAGCACGGGGGTGGTGGCATCATGCTGTGAGACTGTTGTCTTTAAGCACAAAATGAGTGGACGAATGTAGGCAGAGAACTAGATCCATTTTTTTTTGTCCATCTTGGCTAGAACTTGGATGCCTTTGGGTTTTCCAGCAAGATAACAATCAGACCTCGTTTATTAAAGCTTCTGGAACATCCTTATCAAATCCAACTGTAGGAAACTACAGCAAACCTGTCTATTTTAATCAGATTGGACCTTTGAAAAGATAATTCTTTACCTTTCCAGCTTAAAACATCTGCAATAAGAGATAAAGTGAAACTTCACATCTTATTTCATTTCAAAGGTAGAAACAAACATTCTCTGCTAATAAATGGCAGTGACAGCAACAAAGCTTGTTGATTCTGTGAAAGCTCAAACAGATCCTGCTATTGTCTCCTGGACCTTCTTCAGTGCTCACAGCTGGGATTCACATGACTGTGTTGACATCAGAGCAAGGCCAAGGTGTCCCGTTACCTTTTCCCGTGGCCCATCACTCAGGGACAAAAGTCTGTTTGGACATGCCCTTTCCAGCACCTCTCAGGCCTGCAACGCCTTCTACCTGCCTTCAAAAGAGCTACTCTTCCTTCAAGTTTCACACTTCAAGGAACCTGCAGAAGGATGAAGCAATTTGCTTTGTTGTTGTCAGAGTGAATATGTATTAAATTTCTGGGAACGTCTGCTTTCTACAATAAATCAAAGACATTTATGGTGTGTTCATTGAGGGCAACATCAACCATATTTTCTAAGGTGTTTTAAGTGTAACCAGTTTGTTAGATATTTTTATGAATATTTTTATCCTCCATAAATGTGACCTGCATCAAATTACAATTAATTAATGGAGGTAGCAAAGGTAGCAAACTGATCGGCAGATGTTTTCCTCTGGGGTTTCTGCTACCTGCGCTTTTGGAGTAATTTATTTGACTCATGGAAAAGTTGACCTCCATTTCCTGTTTTGTCCATTTGTGGACAACTGGTCCTACTCTAGTTTGCTGGAGTTGATAAACTTTTACGCACTGCTCAATATCAATCTTTTTTTTTTGTGTGAAATTTCTTAAGATCAAGGGCATAAAGCATTGTTTTTTTTCACCCCCTTAGATATTGTCAAACTGTTTTTTTTTCTGCTCAGGACTTGGTGTGGATAGTGAAAATGAGTTCAGCTCTCTGAAAAACAGATTAAACAAGTATTTCATTTACATTGTGCCAGGTCGATTAAACTGGTTTGTAATCTCTTAATGGATACAATGATCATTCAATTATTGCATTTTTTTTTTTACTTACACAGGTTTTTCTTTGTCAGATATTAAAATATGTTTCACCAACAGACATCAGTGAGAAGAGCAAAAGTAGAAAATGATCTATATGGGGTCATTACACATAGTGACGGGTTTCAAACATGAAAAGCATGTTCAGTAAAATCAAATCGAATCCAAACCACACATTTAGTTGTGGCTTCTTTCACATGAATTATTGCAACAATGAAGTTAAGAAGCACATCACTTTTCTTCACGCCTTTTCTTTTTATTATTATTATTATTATTATTATTATTATTATTATTATTATTATTATTATTATTATTATTATTATTATTATTATTGTACACATCACTCTGATCAGTCATCTTCTTTTTAGGGTTGTGTTTGTTGTGGAAGGTGATACTGACTGGAGAGTCATCTCCATCACTGAGTGATTTGTAACATGGCCACAACACATCATTATTGTGTTTTCTTTAGCTGTGACATTTGAATAACATTATTCAAACACATAACAAGCACATAGATTAAGTATATTACACTTTGTGTGACTAAATGAGTTTCACTTTCTGAATTGCACTACTGAAATAAATTAAGTTCTCAATCATTTTCTAATTTTAATTACTGAACACTAAAGAGCAATAGTAAACATAATTTAGCATAAAATTAAAGCTTATGTTCTGAACACTACCGACAGCATCTAGAGAAGATTTCTGTCTTGATCTGGGTGCACTGCAGTGCAGACCTCTTGTTTGCTGTGCAAACATTGATTGAATAAAATCAGCAACGGGTCAGTAATCTCTTCCTCCCTGCAAACTCTCCACCTCAGAGATCATCAGGATGGAGAATAAACCAATGGATTAAAGCAGGAGCCCTAAGCCCTGGCCATTCACTCTGCATGATAGGATTAAAGTAGAAACTTTTGTACCTGTGAAACCTTATCCTTCCAGGCCCGGCATCACAGAAGCCTGTGAAACGGACACCTCCAGCTGCAGGGCCGATGCAGGACTGTGGTCTAGTTCACCTCCGGAAGCTGATTTCATACCTGTGAGTGGTATGAATAAGTATAATAATGAAAGGTGAGTTTAAAACATACATATAGACATTCTCGGAAATAACAATGCGAATATGAAAACACTTACAGGGTTACACATACATTTTTTAAGGAAAACCACTTTATAAATGTTTATGTTTCATATAACCAGTTCATTAAATTGATAATTTAATATAATTGAATGTTTACAAAAGTAAATTTTCTCTAATTTTCAGTATAGCATTTTGTAATACAAGATATTTACAATAAACTAATTATGAGGCTTGGGAAAGTAGGTACTAAAAAAGAGGCTGCTCATTAAGGAGCAGTTCACAGGAAAATTATATATTGTATACCAAAATGGCAAAATACAGAAATGACATTATCGTGGGAAAAAGATGGAAAAACAGACTAAAAAAGAGAAAAATAAAGAAATTCAAAACTAACAAAAATATAAAACTATTATTTCAGAAAAAGAAAGTGGCAAAAATACCAAAGGGAAAATAAATCTCTACCACCAGTAATATTAGTCACAATATAAAATTATTTTTATGAGAAATAAAGTACTTCCCATAGGCCTGATATTTCCACATGGGTTTGTAAGTTGTTCATATAATCTGATTTGACTTTTTATGTTTGCTTGCATGCGTCTCTGCTGTGCTCTCGCATTGAGTCCAATGACTGAAATGCGGAGGTAGGCAGGATCCTTAGCTATCTCCACCATTAATCTAAATTTGTCAGGAAGGGCTGAGGTGAGGGCAGAGGCAGAGAGAGAAGTAGAACAAGGAGGAGGAGGTGGAGGACTAAAAGGTAATTGCACCCTGCTGCTCCATTATGGTGTCATGCCTCTGTTAACAGGAGATAAGATCTACTTAAAATCACCTGCAGCCAATTCTCCACTTTACTTGGTTGGGACTGAAAGACCCAGAGAAAAAGACAAAGACGTGTCCGGCTCTGATTATCATGTGCAGAATTTAAAAGGGCATTCTGTAAGCGGTTTAAGAAAAATTTGATGCCATGTGACACTTTACAGCCAGGGTTGATGGACGCAAAGAGGACCGAGCACTTTCTCTGCCCCATGCAGCCTGACACCACTCTTGATGAATGCAGTCCTGATTGACAGGTGAGATGTCTGTCGCTGGCTGCAGAGCACAGGGGTAGGGATACAGTTAACCGACTGACACAACACACGGTTCAACTAAACTGGTGCCTTTTGACCTGAACGCAGAAAAAAAGCTGTTAACATCCATCACAGTCAATCAGAAAGATCAGTGAAAAATACTGTAAACTTGTATTAGGTACAAACTATTTTTACTCAAGATGAGCTCTAAAGAAGTGGAAGTACTGTATATAAAATCCTTTGAGGGAGACTGAGCTTACTAGCCTCACATCTAAACTATGCTTTATTAAAGTATTCTCATGAATGGTCTGAATTAGTACCGGAACCAACATTCTAACGCAAAATAGTGCATAATTTTGTTGTGGAAGAGAAAATAAGAGAAAATCTAAAAACTGTGGTATGAATTTGTTTCAGCCAAAGCATAAATGTATGGTCTGACAGAGAGTGTCTCATCTAGAGCAGGGCTATGTGAACTTTTTGTGCAAAAAAATACACATGATAAAAAATTTTTTTTAAAAATCACTAAGAAAAAGTTTGTTTTTGCTTGCCTCCTCGATAACAAAGTAAAGATGCAATATTTTATTTGAATTAAGTATGTCTTAGTCATCAGATCAAAGACGTAAAAAAATAAAAGAAAGCAAAACCGTTTTGCACATTCTCTTCTCAAACTTTAGTAATCCTGTCTGGAATTATTTTTAATTGAACAACAGAAGAAATTGAGTTTAATATCAGTTAATTTTAATAGAGCAGATTTGGGTTCACCAAAGTCTGCCAAAGTTGAATAAAACTAAACATAAAAGAGGAAACGAAACACCAAAATTTTAGGTTACAAAGTTCAGGCTCCTGTGAAGCATTTCAAGCTTCTTATGGCAATGAATGTCTTTTACAGAAGCCAGATGGGGAGAAGCTGCCCAATAATGGGCTTCAAGTGCCCCCTACTGAGCATCACGAACGGATTAAAGGATTTGCAAAGCTCTGTCATAAGGCTGTCCATCACTGTCACACCTGCCTTGGATTTACAGTGCTGATGTCGTAACAACGAAAAACA